ATATTAACAAAAATATTTTGATAATAAGATTTAGATCTTAAGATTTTGTCTGTGCATGAGGATGCTAATTGCTATGTGGGAAAAAAGTGGCTTAGTGACAATTAAGAATATTGGAAAAGATTGTATTGGAGTATCATAGGAAGCTCCTAATACGTAAAATAGTTGGACGGTGGATCCAAACGGCAAGAAAAGATTAAAAAATAAGAAGTTTGTTATAAAAATGGTTTTTAATTTTAAAAATTCTGCTAATTAGAAAATATAAAGGTGCTCGCTAAGGATGCTAGAAAGCAATAATCGATGCAGCATTAGGCTTTTAGTGATTTATATAATAGATTTTAGATACTAAAGAAGAGAAGATATATGTATAAGTTAGCCAAGACAAAAGAGATAGGACGTAGTAAGGATTTGTTCAAGTGACGTGTAATTAAGGATGAAGATCTAAAACTACTTTTCTTAGAAGATGATATCTCAACAAAACATGGATGAGATATTTTGCTAAACTTTTAAATGAAGATTATGAAATAAGATTGACTTAATAGTGATATTAGTACCCTTAATGAAAATAAAAGATTTATGTTGTTTTTATCGGCGTATTAGTTAAATACTGAAGTTAGAGAGGCTTTAAGAAAATGAAGGATGGAAACGCTGTTGGACGCTGATTATATTCCATAGAGGTGTGGAATGCTTAGGAGATGAAGGAATTTCATGGCTTTACTAAACTTTTTAATACTTTATTGAATACTAAACACGATGTCAGATGAGTGGAGAATGAGTGTTTTAATTCTATTTTTATAAATAAAGGTGACGCACAAATTGTGCGAATTATTGAGGTATTAAAGTTAATGTGCATACTTGAATAACTATGGGAAAGAAGTTATGGTCATAGGCTGCGGCTGTACTGATGTTTCTCAAAATCAATTTGGATTTCATGCCGGGTAAGGTGCGACTATGGAAGCCATACATTTATTAAGAGGTTTGATGGAGAAATATAGAGAAAATAAGAGGATCTACATATGATATTTATTGATTACAAAAAGCATATGTAAAGTTCAAGGAGAAGTGCTAGAAAGAGTTCTGAAAAAGAAAGGCAGTCATAATGTTTATATTCAAATCAATTAAAGATATGTATGCATGAGCTATTAACTTGTAATTCAAACACAAAGTGGATTGACTAAGTATTTTCCTATTTCGATTGGTTTATTCAAGCATCAAGCCTTAAACCATATCTTTTTGCTTTAGTATGGATGTTCTCACTAGACATTTGCAAGAACGGATGTACCTTGTGTACTGCCTTTTGCTGATATATTCTTATTGTTGATAATGACTAGAGAGGGAGTTTGAAGGTAAACTTGAATTATAGAAGTCAAACCTTTAGAGTCTAAAGGTTTTCGCTTGAGTAGATCTAAAACGGAATATATGGAGTGTAATTTTAGTAGCAATAGTCTAGTGAGGGGATTGTGACTTTGGGCGATCAAGTCATTAATAAGAGTACACGTTTTAAATATCTTAGATCTGTCGTTCAGAGTGATGATGAAATAAATGGATATTATCAGCAGAATTCAAGTTGGATGATTGAAGTGGAGGAATGCATCGGGCTTGTTATGTGATAGAAATGTACTCCTCAAACTTAAGGGAAAATTCTATAAGATGGTAGTGAGGCCTGCAATGCTTTATGGTGCCGAATGTTGGCCATTAAAAGAGAAGCATAATACTAAGTTAAGTGTGGAAGAGATGAGGATGCTCAGGTGGATGAGTGGCTTTACCCTTAGAGATAGGATACAAAATAAGCATATACGTGAAAAGGTTGGAGTAGCTCTAGTAGAAGATAAGATTAGAGAGAGTCGCCTTAGATGGTTTGGTCACATAAAACGGCGGCCTTCTGATGACCCGGTTAGGAGAGTAGAGGCATTAGATTTGACTTATGTTAAGAAAGGTAGGGGTAGACCTAAAAAGACTTGGTTAGAAAATATTAGGAATGACCTTTCTTTATTAGATTTAAGTGAGAATTTGACTTTTAATAGGACACAATGGAGAAAAAGGATTCATGTAGCCGACCCCACGTAGTGGGATAAAGGCTTGATGTTGTTGTTGTTGTAGGCTTGTAAAGAACCCAATAGTTGCTCGGTTGTCATAGCCTCTAAGTCTTTAGTTTCTTCAATAATGGTGACAATATGATCAAACTTTGAATCTAAAGATCGAAGTATTTTCTCCATAATTCTTACATCTTCTAGCTTCTCCTCGTTTCTTTTTAATTGATTAGAAACGACTAAGACTCTAGTAAAGTAGTCGGAGATAATTTCGACTTCTTTCATATGTAAGACTTCAAACTAACATCGTTAACGTTTGGAGATGCACCTTCTTGACTTGTTCTGCTCCTTTATAAAAGGTCTGAAGCTTTTCCCATGCCTCTTTGGTAGACTTCACATCAGAAATCTTCTCAAAAGCATTATCATCTAATCCTTGAAAGAATTGAAAGAGAGCCTTCGTGTCTCTCTTCCTTGAATCTCTTAGACTATCCTTTTGAGTTTGAGATTAATTTGCCTCATATTGTGGCTCATTGTAGTCTTTCTCTGCCATCTCCGATACATCTTGCACTCCAAGAAGGACCTTCATCTTGAAGCTCTAATTGTCATAGTTGCTATTGTTCAGCGTTGGGACTTGGAAGGGGATCATAACGTCGTTGCTTTTCATCTCTCTAGAAAGAAACTTTTGCTCTGATACTACTTTGTTGGAAAATAAGAGGTTATTGTAAGAGGAGGAATTCTAAAAGAGAATATGAACACTTGTAAAACTCAATTTTATTTCACTCTTATACTTCTTGATTCTACTACATAGAAAACTCAAAAACACCACACCTATTTATACTAATGACACCCCCATTAGGATTGTGCCAACACAATTAAATCTAATGGTTACAATTGACTCTCTAGAATATTCTCCCATCTTCTTTTACAAAAATCATTAATTACATATTCTAGAATTCTCTAAATTGCTCTTTTAGAATGTATTTCTAGAATCCTTTAAAACATTCTTCATAAAATGAAACTCTAGAATTTTCTAAGAACTTTTTTAGATTATAAGCTCAATTAAAAGGCCCAATTAATTAAATCATGTTTAATTTTCAACAAGTTTTGGTTTGAGACCACTTTTTTTTTTTGTGAAAGTCATTTATGGGCGGGATTTTATATCATCAAAGATAAAAATTACAAAGTCCTTAAGAGGATTCACAGTCCACTACTACTCCAAGATCTACAATCAAAAGATAAAATAAGACCTATAGAACTCAAGATCCTAAACTAAGATACAGAAAATTCAAATAAACAGCAGGTAGGCAAATAGTCGAAGCCTAAAAAATTGAAGATGCTAATCCCAGAAACTAGAGCTTGAATATACTTTAAGTGAAGTCAGGATATAAGCGTGACATAGTACAAAAAAGTAAAGCAGAAGGCATGTCGATATACTGTAACTTCAAACCTCAAAATCCACCATTAATCTGCAAAAAAACAACAAGCATTAGCAAGGATGAAAACACAGGGAAACCCCCAAAATCCAAACATCGAACAAACCAACAATAGCCGCAGCACCCATAACAGCATATAACCATTGACAAGCAGACAATGGAAAGCAAAAAAGTAGCATCAGAAAATTGACAGGCGCAAAACAACCTCCACCAAAATTAAATAGAACTCCATAGATCAATGAACCAAAACTGGATGATAATAGGGCAGAAACTAAGTAACAAACCTGAATCAAGATATAGCTCTAGAAATAAAACGACTGAATGAGCCAAACTCGGAAATATCCGCTGGAACACCACAGCAAAAACCAGGATAACACTTGTACCCCAAAACTGACACAATACAAAAACAGCCAACCAAAACACTAAGGAGAAGACCAAAAAACATATAAACCAAGAAACCAAATCAACACATTAAATGACCAAACAACCACCATCATCATGGAAAACACATATAAACCGCCCAAACTTGAAATGACCCTCACACAAAAAACATCATAGGGAAAATTTCCAGTGATAAAAAATAACTAAGAATATGCAATTGAAACTTAAAAGAAAACCTTGCACCAGAAGTACAACAAGCAATAAAAGCTCCACCAAACCAATACTAAAATTAAAAGAAGGGAATACCCAAAGCAACAAGATAAATTTTGCCTTTAAAAGCACAATGAGAAACAAATCAGAGAAATAAAGTGTTTGAAGCAGAAAGAGGGACGGCTAGGAAAACCCTAGCAAAGCGAAGCAAAGAGTGATAAGTAAAGAAGAAATTCAGCATGAAGTGTTTGAAGCAGAAGATTCCTTATCTTTATTACACCATTGTAGGCTATTTGGATTGCCCTACGTTTGTTTTGAAGTAAATGCATTGACCAATTTCTAAATGATAACTTCATCTAAGGATTGGCTGACTATTTAAGAGCAACACCTTTTTCTTCATTTGACATTCTTTTAAGGAGCCCCTTTTGGTCATTGATAATGTTGCTTCTTGAGATTAAATGCAGTCTTTCTCTACCTCTTAAGAAATCACTTTAGAGTCAAACAACGTATATTTATTTATTGCTCTATAAATTATGATTTCTAAATAACATAAAAATGTTCAATTGTTTCTTAATTTATGAACTGTTGATGTTGTTGTTGGAAATTCCTTACAAACTAGACAAAATTTTAACCCAACAATAAATTTTAAGTTTTCAGAAGACCAATATAAACAGTAAAAATAAATGGATATATTTACATGCGGTGAAGATATCCTTCTAAAATATTGAAAGAAATAACTTGTGTAGTTTAAAGTATTTTCTTTTATAATTCTTTTTCTAATATTTATTTTCTTGTTTGTCAAATTCTAGCAGAAAACACAACATTCCAAGACCATTAAGAAAACCAAGCATTGAATGGCCGAAGCAATTGTCTTATCTGTTATAAAAAGTATTGCTTCCACCATTGCAGGAACTGCTTTGACAAAGATTACCTCCCTGAAATCAACTTTATCAGAAGTTCGAGCATTTAATGAGTATATTTGAAGTAATGTCCGGCTCTCTAAAAGATATAGATGAAATGAATGACTATAATCATGCAGTTGCTGCTTGGAGGAAGCAAGTAATACATGTAGCATATGAGGTGGAAGATATAGTCGATGAGTACTCTTATTTAACTAGCGAAAGACATCAAAAAGATTTCAAAGGCGTTTTCTACAAAGTCATTCATGTTTCTAGAGATGCTAGAACATGGTACCGAACTGCCTTCCATCTAGAAAAATTAGAAACAAAGCTTAATAACCTCACGAATATGAGGAACCAATTTGGTATCAACACAAGCCAAGGAATGACCATAGGAAACAACTCAAACAATGATAATGGACAAATTAGTCGTTTTGCAGAATCCTCCCATTTTAAGCTGGAAAATGAAATCATCGGTATTGAGGAAAATAGAAATTTAATTGAGAATTGGTTAGCTGATAACGAAACTAGCCAATATGTTATAGCCGTTTGGGGCATGGCCGGTGTTGGTAAGACCACACTTGCTACGAATGTGTATAACAGGCAGAAGAAAGATTGTTGCTTCAACAGCTTTGCATGGATCTCGGTTACCCAGACATATAATATCAATGACTTACTTAGAAATATCATCCTAGACCTATATGAAGGTATGATGGAAGCTATTCCACAATCACTCAACACCATGGAATACCGACATCTAGTACAAATTCTTCAAGGCTTTTTGCACCAAAAAAAGTATCTCATCGTACTAGATGATATTTGGAGCATTGAAGTCTGGACATATCTCAAGAACGCCTTTCTAGATTGTAAGCTTGGAAGTAGAGTAATTATAACAAGTAGGGTTTATGATGTTGCAATAAATGCAGCGAGCAAATCTCATATAATTGAACTTAAGCTGCTGCAGAAAGACAAAGCTCAGAAGTTATTCTGCCTTACTGTGTTTGGGGAAGGCGTCATAAAATATCCTCAAGATCTAGAAGAGCTGACACAAAAATTTCTGCACAAATGTGAAGGCTTACCGTTAGCTATAGTGTGCATTGGAAGATTATTATCAGTTAAAGACAAGGATATAATATTGTGGCAAAGGATATATGATGGTCTAAACATTGGATCGACTGATCTTCGTAATGTGTACAATATTTTCAGAATAAGCTTCAATGATCTTCCAGTTTATCTCAAGAGTTGTCTCCTATATTGTAGTATGTTTCCTGAAGGTCACAATATCCGAACAAAAATTCTTATAAGGCTATGGGTAGCAGAAGGTTTTGTTCAGATACAAGGAAGCAAGTCATTGGAGGAGGTGGCCGAGGAATATCTTAATGAACTTACTCATAGATGCTTGCTTAAGACTGCTTATATAACTTCCAGGGGAACAGTATCACGATACATCATTCATGATCTTATAAGAGACTTCCTTTTGACAAAATCCAGGGAAGATAATTTTTGTGAGGTGTATCGTGGAGGTGAGTTGAGCAGGGATATTCGGCGTCTTTCTATATCAAACAGTGCAAGTGATCTACGACTAGAAACTTCTCACCATCTCAGATCAATTATTGTGTTTGATCCCAAAGCTTCATTCAGTAACCTCACGCTGCAAAATCATTTCTCCAGCTTCAGGCTTTTGAAGGTGTTAGATATGAGTTTTGCTCCTATAGAAAAATTACCAAACGAAATCTACCAACTGTTCAACCTACATTATCTCGGCTTACGTGGCACTAAGATTAAAAAAATTTCCAAATCCTTGCGAAGGTTACAAAACCTACAGACTCTGGATGTTTTGAATACAAATTTGGATAATCTTCCTTCAACAGTGGTAAAACTGAAACGTTTGAGACACATTTCAGCCGGAAAATATTTTGCAGTTTCCGGTAATATAGTTAGAATGCGTTTTTTGACGGCTCCTAGAAAGATCTGTGACCTTGCTGATTTACAAACCATAAAATATTTAGCCGCAAATGCTGAAATTGTTAAGCAAATTGGGAATTTGACTGAGTTGAGATCGTTAAAAATTGGAGACGTGACAGAATCGCAAAGTAAGGAATTGTTAGTTGCTCTTTCTAAAATGGAGAGACTTGTGAAATTGGAAGTCTTTGCAAGTTCTTATTCAGTCATTTTCACTTGGGAAGCCTCCCCTTCTCTACCACCCTACCTTCAGTGGCTTAGCTTACATGGTATATTTGCAAATGGTAAACTACCACAATGGTTTTCGGGACTTGTCCAGCTCAAGACTGTTATGTTATACGTTTCTTGCCTTTCAGAAGATTCGCTTCTAGTTCTTGGCCTATTACCGAATCTTTTGTTCCTGGCCCTCCAAGTTGATGCGTATGTGGGGCAAAGGTTATGCTTGCAAGAATGCTGGTTTCCCAAACTTTCCAAATTGCAGCTAATCGAACTATATAAACTAAATTGCATCGAAATAAGAAGAGATGCCATGCCAGAGTTGTCTTCTCTATACTTAAGAGGATGCGTACAACTAAAGATTGTGCAAGGAATGGAGAACCTCCCTTCACTGAGAGAGTTGGTACTATATGAAATGCCCAATGAGCTTATAAACAGCTTGCATAATACACTAGATAATAATAAAATCAAAGTAGTCAAGAACATGATCGAAAGAGATGGTATCTGGTACTCTGAAGGCATTAATAATTAAATCAGGTCATAATGTTGTTAATAAAGCCAATGATGATTATTTAAATCCATTCCTTAGCAAAAGTCTACTGATCTGCAATGCCTATTGGCGCTTCAATTTATTTCTATGACCAAAGAATGCGTGTAATGTAATGTAGCCTTTTATTTTGAGTTCATTATACAATGCATTATTTATTTTGATGCCTGATAAGATTTGCCTTTTTTTTTTCTGCTCAACAAATATGCCTAGCTTCTACATTCTTACGTTGAATAAGAATGTGTAGAAATAAAGGTTTATTTAATATGCATTTCTACATCTACGATCGTTCTCAAACATGTTATGGATTTGTTTATGATCACTTTGTTTTGTCTTCTTATTTATATTTTTATATTATTTTTAAAAACATGTTTATTTGGTGCATTTTTATATTATTTTTCATATTCTATTTTAAAACAAATCAATTTTCTTATAAAATTAAAGTAACTTCAGATATTTTTGAGTGTTTTTAAAAATAACAATCATTGCCGATAGTTGTTCACTAGTCGTTGCACATCATTATTTGCTATAGTTGGCCATATATTGCCACAGCACCATCTATGCCCATCACCAATTATAACAACAAGATAAGAAATCTTGTAACTTGATAGTGAAAGCAAGAATGGAAGTGACGATGTGGTTTTGATCATGGAAGTGGACCAACGACAGAGCTACAATGGATGGCATAAGGGTACGAGCCCCATTTGCCCAACAAGTAAAGTGGAATGAATAAAAAAAAAAACTAATTCCTTACACCTAGCTGGCTAGTGCCCCCAATCGATCGAATCTAAAATGACCTTTGCAATGCTCACCTAGATCTCCCTTCCTAATGGTGATTCTTTCGATGTCCTTTCAGCATTTAGTCAACAAGTTTTCCATGAGTCCTCTCTGGCTTGATACTTGTCCCTCTCTTCTAGTTTTCTCTTCTCTTTCTCTCTTTCTCTCTTTCTCTCTCTGCTTGTAATGTTACGAAGTCCTTAAAAGAAATCCAAACGTTGCTACCACTCAAAGAGCTACAATGCTAAAAAATCTCTCTACCCCCACCCCCTCGAAAAAAAAAAATTATGGAGCACATGATTCCCCATCAAGAATTATAAAATAAGGAGTAAATATTTTAGCAAGCAAGAAGCCAAGCCTAAGAAAATGAAAAGGTAATAATAGAGAGCAGAAGATGAATATCTAAAATTAGCCAAAGCATTGAGTTGAAACCACTGGCAAAAGAGAATAAATAAAATAAAAGAACTCGCCAAAAGCAACAAAATGATGAGTTTCAAAGAAAGCCCACGAGCAAAGACCATTGAACGAGGCAGGGTAATTCAGCAGCAGGATAAAAAAGATCCAGAATAAAGGTGCTAGCGAAAAATCACATGGATCTAGAAAAGAGAGGAAAAAGCAATTAGTTAAATACACATGAAGGATAGGAGGAAGAATGAAAGATATAGTGAACATAAGAAGTGCATAGATGGCAAATAAGAAGAAAATCCTGGCAAAACATATCAGGAATAATGATATAAATGAAAAGAGAGAAGATCAAGCAAAAATCTATTCTCCATACAAACCAAAAAAGCTATTCTCAAATGGCACAAGGATATTCTCTATTCAAACCACAGCCATTCTCCATCCAATACTTGTTGTAGGAAGCAAAAAGAATAGTAACCATTCCAGGCAAAAGCAAGGCTATCACAACAGGAAGGGAAGGAAAAAAATTCCTCACCCGGAAAATCCAAATAATCCACCAATATTCAAACCCGCATGATAAAATGAAAAGGATAGCAAGGAAATAAACCAAAGGTTGCAGAACAAATAAGCCCAAATAAAATTAAGGGTACCCAAATATAGAGAAAATATCATTATAATAAACACTCCATAATATGTATACAATGACCAAAACTACTGAGAAGAAACTATAAAGTGAATCAAGCAAACCCATTCCAATATAAATATAGTATGAAAAATTAAGGCAACAGATAGGTAATATATAGCTAGAAAGGGCTACATAAACATAACAAAAATATTGAGATATAAATTAAGAAACACAAAAGGAGCAATTAAAAAAATACAACATAATTGATAACAAATAGAAAAATGTTGAGATAATAAATTATGTAAGAGAAGATAAATTAAAATCAAGAAAGGGATAGGAAATTTAATTTATGATATAAGGCATACCTAGAGCATCAAGTCTCTTCATGCCATTCTGCATTCTAAAACAAGAAACCTTGTTTAAATATTCAACATTTAGGAGAGTCGTACCTCTCCTAGCCAACTAATTAGCACATACGTTTACTTCTCTCCTGATATGAGTAGTTTTTTAATTAACCTTTAATAAAGTGGCCATAGTTATATTGAATATATGAAAATGAATTGCATTATGATGGTGATTAAAAGATATTAACGAGACACGAACTTCAGACACTACAGGAAAATCTATCATTACTGTCGGATTTTTCGACAGATAAATATATGCCAGAAAATGCGGCTGAACCAATAAAATATTCGTCAGTATTTTAATGGCAGAATTTTCAAAGAAATATCTGCCGTTACAACACTAGCAAATTTTCCGTTGGAGTTGCGCCAAAACTTAAAAAGTTTCCGAAGCAATTTCTGCCAGTTATTACCGGCGAACTTACCAGAGAAACTTTCGTCTGCTTACTTAAACTCGATGAATATTTACCGACGCATTATCCATCAGTAATTTAACCGATGGATAATACACTGAAAAATTCAACGGAAAGGGTCCTATATTGACCCATCCGCCATCTTTCTTGTCATTTCTTTCCTTCTTCCTCGGGTAGGTCCCGTCTCCCTGCGTCTAAGAGCTTCCGCGAACACGACCCTCGTCGACTTTTGCCGCCAAACTAGCACCTTTCACCGCCATTGAGTTCTGTCGTCGGTTGCATCTACTTGCCACCTTCTCCCTGCATCTGAGAGCTGCCACGAACGTGACCCTCGTTGACTTTCACCGCCAAACTAACACCTATAAGTGTATGCTTTTATTTTGGTTATGGATGTTCTCACTAGACATTTATAAGAGCATGTCTTGGTATATATGTTTTTAAATTTTTTGTTTTGTTTAGGATGTTCTCACTAGACATTTGTAAGAGAATGAATCTTGGTGTATGCTATTATTTTAGTTATGGATGTTCTCAGTAGACATTTGTAAGAGAATGTATCTTGGTATATGATTTTAAATTATTTTTGTTATGGATATTCTCAATAGACATGTGCAATAGAATGAACCTTGGTGTATGCTTTTGCTTTTGTTATGAATGTTCTCACTAGACATTTGTAAGATTAAATTTTATTAGAGTCTAAAGGTTTTCGGATAAGTAGATCTAAAATTTATTATATGGAGTATATTTTTAGCTGTAATAGACCTAGTTGAGGGATTGTGACTTTAGGCGATGAAGTCATTAATAAAAGTATAAGTTTTAATCAATATATTTGATCTATTTATGACAAAATTAGAGCTACAAAAAAACTCTAGTTGACTAGGGCCGAGTTGGAAGGAAAACATTAATTAAGAGTGTATGAGAACTTCCTTGAGCATAATAGTTAAAGCGAGCGAAGGCTTAACATCCAAGATGAAACCCTAGCATAGGGATGGGGCATAGCGGGTAGTAGGGAGGAAACCCTAGCAGAGCACTTCAAGGTGTGTGTGATTGAAAGAAAAGCTCTTGAGGTGGTTTTGTTCATGTAATAAGATTATTTAATGTATCTTTTGTTTTGATTTATGAAGATCATTCATATTTTTAAGGTAAATAATATAAAATAAAAAAATTATTGATAATGTCAATTTTTTTATTTCTAAATATCTTTTGACATGAAGTTCATAAATGATAATCTAATAAATTATTACATGTCCATTGTCGAGAGGAAGATTACAATCTATAAATCAAGTGAATTTAAATACTTATACTTAGATGGCCTTTTTTTTTTTTGGAATAAGTTGTTATGATGTTAAAATGTGTCTCATCAATTTATTTATTTAGATATATTTATAAAATATATTTTTTTAAAAATTATAGTTTTAATGAGATACTTTGAATGAAAAGTAGAACCAAATGAACATGATAACAATTCATCGTGATAATAATGCACAGTGGAAAAAAAAACTTTTGTTGAAGCTAATTAAGATGATATCCTTGCAAACCATGGATTAAGAAAAATATTTTGATTTTCACCCAAAGATAATATCTCTTGCTATATTAGCCTCGTGATCATGAATTCCCACATTCAAAAATTGAAAATAAATTCTATAGATTTAATCATGTGGCTTGACGATTGTAAAGTATTGTTAGACTGTAGCTGTAGCTTAGTACATAGTTAGTTACAATGTACAACTTGCTTAAAATCCCTAATAACAGAAAGTTTTAAAGCATCCTCCTAGAATTATTAGAATTTCCAAAATAAGTTTAGCATAGGAATAGTCAAAACCACCATAGGTTCGAGAAAAGCTAAGAAATATTGCGAATCTTACAAAAATTATGTACATGATAACGAGCACTCAATTTAACATTGCCTCTAATATTCTAACTAATTGAACTAATCATAACAAGTAGTTTTGGAAGAAGCTTGAGATCTAGTAATTCTTACAGTAGACGTAGGGTCGTAACCAACTAGAAATTGTCATAGGCCTCATTAATAAAATTACAATTTTACTCATTCAAGTGATAATTATCTTGAGTTTCCTCAGTGGAGTTGATTTACCCCGCTCACCAATTCAAAATGTTTTAATAGATGGAAACAATCCTCCCAATCATTAGTAGGCGAATGGTCACATTAAGAATCTTTGGGAATTTTAATAACAGTTACTAAGTTAGAAATATCCAGGCTAGTTGAGAGTTTATTACAAGTAGGGGAGCTAATAGCTTTAGAAGGAATAACATCTAGGTATTTATTATTATTTGTATTAGTAGACAAATGGGTATTACGAACCATAATTTCCATAGGATCCCGTTTATGTGCAACAGTGTAATGATTCAAATTAGTGGGAACATCAAGAACAAGAAAAGGGTTGTGGTCAACCAAACATTCATTAGTTTCCTTCTTGATACGTCATCACAAAATTAGCGTGATCGGGCACGAATCTCGAGGCAAAAACTAGTTGGAAACTTCAAAAATTAATTCCGAGAGCACACGAACTCTGATTTCAGCGAGCTTATAGTCAAACTGAG